CCCCCCCACAAGGTCAAACAATGCCTAACCGCAACCCTAATAAAGTTGTGACGATTGCTACGAGGTAGGCGAAAACCAAGTGGCCAGTGCCAATTTGCCAAGTAGAAAAATTCCTACCAGGCCCCTCGGACAACCAAGGCGATCAACCGAAGTCCATAGCAAGGCCATTGCCTAACCTGCAAAATAGGGAGGGAGGGTGGGTGATTGAGGAAGCGAGCCAAAGAGGAAGTCCTCTGGCTCACTCCTCCATTTAAACGGTCCCGGCCATGCCCCCCCAGCCAGCAGGTTGGCTGGCCAGGCTCCGATGTGGCTGGGATCCCCCAGGCAATGGGGGACAAGGTCCCCCGCCCCCGGTGGGGAGTGGGTGGCCACGCGGTCCACCGCAACTCCTCCCCACTGGGAAGTGGAGCGGATTTACTGTCAATGGGTTTACTCTGAGTAGAACTTAGTTGAATACCACCCATGGCATCTGTAATACATAAGAAATCTGAACTGGAAGTTTAGTAACTGGTCTGCTAGAAGTTCTATGAAATTATTGGCATGATCACACTAGTCCTACACATAAGAAGGTGTAAGGTTCTTCATTCTGAGTCAGATTGTTAGTCCATTTAGCGTTGTCTGGTCTAACTGACTGGAGAAGCTCTTCAGGGTCTCAGGAAGAGGTTTCCCCAGCTTTTATATCTGACTGCCATTAAGTAAGGACTTAATGCCATGTGGTAAGGACTGAACCTGTGGTTTTTATGCAGGCAAACATTCTGCTTCAGCACTGAACTACAAACCCACCCCCTATCACAGACAGAATTTCTGAAATTTGATTGACAATTGTTTTCTACCACAGACTGATTCTATCACAAAGCACATTCCCACCCCATCCGTTTTTGCAATGAAAAGAAATCTTGGATATGTCTTGCAGATTCTTTCCTGTCAAAGTGTATCTGAGAATGGGCAGAGGGAGAGAGAGGGTGAAAAGTCAAAATTACCAAGTACATTGAGCATGAAATTGAGGAGCTCAAGGGAGAGTTTCATTTTCCTGCTTAAAATCAAAAAGAAACCTAGCTCCTGATAATAATTCTAACAACAAAGACCAGACTGGGAATGATTTATGTCATGTTTTTCCTCATCAATAAGTTATAAAATGCAATAAAATAAAATAAATCCAATTCATGCATTTGTTAAATAGTGTGTGTGTATGTGTGTGTCTATATTCATTGTGTGGCAGTAAGTTCCCTTAAAGAGCCTTCTGGAATAGTAGTACTGAAACCCGGTACTGAGTTTGTTTAGCCTGGAAATATTTTGCCTGAGGTAAAGAACCATTGGAGATTTGCATATCCGCAGCTATAATTTAGTCATTTGTGTTTGGCTGATGTATGACAAATTGACTAATGACTGCCCTGAAGAGGAATGTTTGCCAGCCTGACATTTTGGATGCAGAATTCTCAAATCAATACTGAGGCATGCTGCCTGCATAAAGGACAGAGCCTCTTAAACTTTTGCTTTTCCGTCGATTTGTATTCTGCTTGCAGTCTTTCCTCCAGGAGCTGGATTTAGATGAAGCTCTGTATTCTGACAGAAGCTTGACTCCCTGCCAGAAAAACTGGAAATGGAGGCAACCTAAAGTAAATACTGATAGTATTTCTCTCCCTCTCTTTTACTCTTGAACATTTTTTTAATAAAAAGGAAAGGCATATGTTCATAGCCTAACTTGTCCCAATAGAGGGTCAATTACAACCATTTGGCTGCAAATCCAATCCAAGAAAAATACAAAGTAAAGAAACAGCAACAGCAGGTACCCAGGGCCTCCACTACAGTCAGATGTTCTCGGTACATGTCAAATGTGAACATAAAGCCTATGGGTAAGATATTTTTCATCCTTCAGTTTCCCATGAAAGTCCAAAATGAATCAATAAACCAGGGAGACATTTTTGCATAGTTAGGTATTTTCCTGCATAGTCCTATAAATGTCTACAAAGATGTGAGTTCTTTTAACAGGAATCATGAGGAGAATAAATTCATATCTGATTTAGATAAAAATTGTCTGGCCAGATATTTACATACATATGCAAATCCAAGTTAATCAGGGCAACAGAGAGACTGAAATCCAAGGCTTACAGAGATGAAGTTCAAATGGTGACATATTTATAAACCAGTGTTTCCAAAACTTGGGTCTCCAGCTGCTTTTGGGCTAAAACTCTCATCATCCCTAGCTAGCTAGTAGGACCAGAGCTCAGGGATGATGGGAATTGTAGTCCAAAAACAGCTGGAGACCCAAGTTTGGGAAACCCTGATATAAATGGTCCCAAAGCATGGTTGGAAAGCACCTGATCTATTTCTGAAGCTGTGTAAATAGCAACTACTTTGAAACCCACCTTCCTCACTTCTACCACATGCATACAGCTCTATGATTTTGGCCCAGGTAGGGATGCAGATGACTACACAATACAATAACAGAACAGTGAAGAGACTTTGTAACAGTATAGAGAAAACTATGGATACACTTGATCTAGCAATTTGCTGCAGACGTAAGAGATAAGCTTGCTTGGGTTGTTCCATGCATTTCAAAGCGAGACCACACAACACGTATTCAGTGTGCTGTTTCTGAAGCTGAGTGCATAGGCAGTGCAGTAATCTTGTTTAAAACCTTATTAAAAACCCTACACAAATGCATAGTGGAGTCCCTAAAATGGCTGGATGGGGCCTTGTGTTCTAGCAACTCCTGCAGCTAAGTTGGTGCCAAACATATTGCTCAGCTTTGCTTTAGACCACTTCAGCAAGCCCAAGATGGGGCTTTTGCCATGTGGGCAGCCCAAGACCTCCATACTCACTGCCCAGGCTTGCACCCCAGGGAGGTCACTTTGGGGCTGCTAACACAGTGGTTTGACTTCACCCCTGGAGGCACACTCCATTGTCTCTTGAGACAGATCAATACCAACTCTATCTATCTATCTATCATCTATCTATCTATCTATCTATCTATCTATCTATCTATCTATCTATCTATCTATCATCTATCTATCTATCTATCTATCTATCTATCATCTATCATCTATCTATCATCTATCTATCTATCTATCTATCTATCATGTATCTATCATCTATCTATCTATCTATCTATCTATCTATCTATCTATCTATCTATCTATCTATCTATCATCTATCTATCTATCTATCTATCTATCTATCTATCTATCTATCTATCATCTATCATCTATCTATCTATCTATCTATCTATCTATCTATCTATCTATCTATCATCTATCTATCATCATCTATCTATCATCTCTCTCTCTCTCTCTCTCTCTCTCTCTCTCTCTCTCTCTCTCAATCATCTATCTAAAGGTGATGGGCAAAATATAATGAAACAAGTAAAAAAATAATCAAAAAACACAAAAGAGAAAAATATTAATTTTAAACAATACAAAATAGACACTCATGGTAGAGACCTCATGGTAGAGACCTCTTCATCAAGCTGGGAAGACTTGTCATAGCAAAAATGTCTCCCCTTGTTTCTGGAAAGTACACACAGTGGATGTATGTTATATCTTGACATAAATGCTGTTGCAGAGTTGGAGTCTAAAACAACTGAAGAGCACCAGGTTGGTAAATATTTGTTGGCATCAGGAGGCAATGGAGGAATGTGCTTTTGGAGGCGAAGTCAAACTGTTGGAGAGTTACACTGTCTTCTGTGGCTGCAGAGACTGATATGGGAGAGACTTTTTTTTTTGCAGCTGGGGCAGATGAATGCATTCAGTTGTGCTGCTGCAGTTGCACCACAGCATTTCTTCGTTCTGTGCTCCTCCAAGTAGTCGTTCTTGACTCTGGTCACTGCTGTGGATAGACAACCTGACTGCCTGTCTCCAGGCATTGCAGTCATCTGCAAGGGATTCCCACTCAGAGTTGGTCTGCCAATGGGCCTAATGCCTGAAGCCAGGCATCCCCATACAGCACATCCTTGTGGACTCAGATGTGAACCTAAGGTTTCCTCAAATGAGCAAGGGAAGTCTGGCCCTCCAGCAGATTTCCACATTGGCAATCACTTCTAGGAGTCATCAAATCTAGATGCCACTGCCTCAGAACTGCGGGGCCTGATCCCAGCTCTCTGGGTTTCTGGGTGGTTCTCAGACCCCTCTTCATCTCCACCCGGGCTGTAGAACAGTGTGGAGTATAAATGGCTCTTAGGCTTTAGGAACCTGTTTTCCAACTCTGAATTTAATAGTTAAACTAAAACTATGTTAATAGATTATGTTTAGTTGTATTAAATCCTTTTATGCTGCATACTTTTTTCCCTTACTAATGCAGTGAATGGCTTTTGGAGAGGTTAAAAGGTGACAAACCTACCAAGAAAACAGGCGTGATTCAAAGAGGGCATGGTCTGACACATAAGATTACAGATTGTCTCTAAAGATCTGTCTTTTAGATCTCTGGTGAAAAATTCCTTGTGAATATGAAAGTTTTGATTCTGAAATTGCAGAGGAGCTTGTACAGTGGTACCTCAGTTTTCGAATGTCTTGGAAATTGAACATTTCGGTTTTCAAATGCCGAAAACCCGGAAGTAACTGCTTCGGTTTTCAAACACTTTTCAGAAGTTGAATGTGTCACGTGCAGCAGCGTAGCTAGCCGCTCGGGTGCCTGGTGTGGGGGCATGTCCTGCAGCCAGGGAGAGCCTCTCCGATGCTTGGAGCCTCTTCACCACCTCCCCTTCAGCTGCAGGGCGGCTGAGGGAGAGGCAGTAGGCAGCCGCAAGTCCCACGCTGCTGTTTCAGGCAGCGCGGAACCTGCAGGTACCTAAGCCACCACGTCACTCCTAAAACGTTTTGGGAGCCCAATTTTAAAAAAAACTCATTTTGTCACACACACACCCTCAGTGATGACACCTGGGGAGGACCACCACCCCTTCCTCCGCCACTGGCCATGTGGCTTCCGTATTGAGTTTTCCATAAATAAATGCTTCTGGAAGTAAATGCTTTGGTTTTCGAACGTTTCGGAAGTTGAACGGTCTTCCAGAACAGATTACGTTCGAAAACCGAGTTACCACTGTATTTTGAAGAAGGTTGGACAACAGAGTTAAGACAGCAATATGTTATTTTTCTTTGAAGGTAACAGATTTCCTGTATAAGGTTGGGGTCTTTCAAGTTTCCTATTGCTGAAATGGTGTTTGACCATACTGCAGGATGTTAGCATCCAAAATGCATATGTAAAGGGTTAATTGCAAGAGGTGTGGAACTCTGAGATGACATACACCTTCTGGCAGTTATGGCAGTTGGTACAGTTATGGCAGTTAGTAGAACAGTCTTAACAGTTAGAGCAGCAGGTATGATGCTATTTTGTGCCTCTAACCGTCTGTCACAGTTTAATCTATGTAAGAAAAATTAGCAACTTAAGAAACAGCCCCCTGCACTGTGTATTTACTCTGCAGCTGTAAGTACACCAAGTGAAAGTTATTTGTTCCTTAAACCTTAAAAGAGAGTGTCTTGCGTAGTTTTTATAGGAGGGAAAAGAGAACTAATTAACGGGTCAAACGACCAAGGGCTGACATCTGCATACTCTGCAAATGGGAACTAGTGTCCAATTCCCACACATATGCAGCAAAAGCATTCTCCTTCCTGCCTTGGCCTGCTTATTTCTGTTGCAGAGTCTTTGCTGGTGAATACGGCATTCTTTCCTGTCTTCTTTCCACACCAGGGTCTCATTATGGAACTGTCATTGTAACACAGGTGCTATTTGCTCAAAATAGATGCAACCAAACAGAAGGGAGACTTATTCAGCAGAAGAACTGGCTTTATTGGGGGAAAGGGATAATTTAGTTTCAATATGTACCATCCAAGAAGAAGAAGAAAAATGGAAAATTCCTGTCATCATCTTCACTGTTTCCAACAGGCCTCCTCGTTGAACTGGAATCACTTCTGGATTTGATTTGGACTAATCTGACTGCTGAATATTTCTAGTTGCTGAGTATTTTGTAAATGAGACACAATTTAGAAACTTGCACCACCCTGAAGCATTTTTAAAGTTAACAATTTTTAAAAAGTCTGCATGACAAAAAGAAGCTCAAGGCTCGCTTGTGAAAATGGCAAAACACATCAGGGCTGCTTTTCCTAAAACACTGGAAATACTGAACTAACGTACAAGTATGAAAAATTATACTGCTATATGATTGAGGTGCCAATCTTATAATAACTTAGAAAGGAAATGCTATTGAACTCAGTGGGGTTTACTTCTAAGTAGACACATATAAGATAGCACTATATAGGAAGCTGGTACACTAATATTTATACAGTGGTACCTCGGGTTAGGGGACGCGGGTGGCGCTGTGGGTAAAAGGCTCAGCGCCTAGGGCTTGCCGATCAAAAGGTCAGTGGTTCGAATCCCCGCGGCGGGGTGCGCTCCCGTTGTTCGGTCCCAGCGCCTGCCAACCTAGCAGTTCGAAAGCACTCCCGGGTGCAAGTAGATAAATAGGGACCGCTTACTAGCGGGAAGGTAAACGGCGTTTCCGTGTGCGGCTCTGGCTCACCAGAGCAGCGATGTCACGCTGGCCACGTGACCCGGAAGTGTCTTCGGACAGCGCTGGCCCCCGGCCTCTTGAGTGAGATGGGCGCACAACCCTAGAGTCTGTCAAGACTGGCCCGTATGGGCAGGGGTACCTTTACCTTTACCTACCTCGGGTTAAGTACTTAATTCGTTCCGGAGGTCCGTACTTAACCTGAAACTGATCTTAACCTGAAGCACCACTTTAGCTAATGGGGCCACCCGCTGCTGCCGCGCCGCCGGAGCACAATTTCTGTTCTCTTCCTGAAGCAAAGTTCTTAACTTGAAGCACAATTTCTGGGTTAGCGGAGTCCGTAACCTGAAGCATATGTAACCTAAAGCGTATGTAACTTGAGGTACCACTGTATTAGTTTGCAGCCTGTACCACATTAATCATGCAACACTGGAGGTTGGTATGGTGTGATTTGATTTGTTGTGCTGGAGTTGTTTGTTGCTTATGTCTTTGGATTGGGTTTGGTTTCTATATGTTCAGACCCTTCCAGTGTCCCTATTTCCCAGGGACAGTCGCAGATTTACATAAACTGTCCCAGTTTCTGATTTGATCCCAGAATATCTCACTTTTTCTTAGGACGTCCCTATTTTCATCAGAGAAATGTTGGAGGGTATGGAGTTATGCAACCCCTGAGCTGTCTCAAGGCAGTACTGTATAGGGAAGTTTTTAAATGTTTAATGTTTTATTATGTTTTTATATATATTGGCAACCCTGCCAGATGGGTGGGGTATAAATAGTAATTTATTATTATGAAATAGAACTTCATAGGAGAATTTCATAGAATTTCATAGGAGAAATGTTGGAGGGTACGTATGTTGTGTCTCTGTTTGTGGGCCTTCGATTTTCAAAAATATGTGGTATTTTCAGTTCCATTACTTTCCATAGCCAGGTCTGTAGCTTTCTGTGTTTAGGTCCCCCCCCCCCAAGATTTCAAAGTGGATTAGAAGTTATTGTGCTTCAGAAGTTTGCAGATTGTTCATCCAAACCATAGGTGCCAACTCTAAGGGGCTGAGGTGTCCTCAAAGTATGTGGGCACAGGGCTGAGCCCTCCCAATCTTGAGGGCCCAGGCCTTCCCGTGGTGGCAGCGGACTTGCTGGACCTCCCCACAGTGGCGGCAGGTCTCATTGGGTCTCCCCATGGTGGTAGTGGGCCTTGGCATGTCTCACGGCCTCTTCCTGACATGCGTGATATTGCTAGAATATTTTTAGGCTTAAAATATTTTGAAGTTTATAAAGTCTTTCTAGCCAATGTGGTAAATTAGGGTTGCCATATTTCAAAAAGTGAAGATACGGACACAAACGTTGCTGAGCTTTTTTCAACATGGACACTGATTCCGACTGCAATATTCCGGGTGTGCGCAGGGTGTGCGCATCACGAAATGTCTCTTGGCCCTTTTTCGGAGCAGGGCAAGTTGAGGCAGGGAGGTGGCGACAGAGACTCTTGCCTCACTGAATGGGCATAATGAGGAGGGCCTGAGTTCCAATTCACTGCTCCTGTCACCAGAGACAGTGGGCTCCTTCTGCCTCATTATTGGGGAAGGAAGTATGTTAGACAAATAGACAACATTAACCACAAGCAGGTAGATTCTCTAGACTGAGGGAATGCTAAAGAGACAAGCCACTGCTCCATATAAAAATGTGATCTGCTTTTTCAGCAGGTGGAACTTCTGTGAGAAAGTTGTGGGCGGAGTGGGGGCAAATGTGCTGCCCAAGCTTTTTTTGGTGTTTGTCCTAGAGCAGTTCCACAAGTTGAAGAGACAAATCTCTTTTTTAAACTGATCAGTGGCTTGCCTCTTGGGCAAGAGGACCCTCTGTGGCAAAAAAAACCTAAAGAGAAAGCTCTGGCAGTGCAAGTGGTTATCTTTGGCACATGCACAGAGCCTCATCATCGCCTAAGCTCAGAGGGCAGGCCAATACCCTTTCAAAGACAATATCCTTACACAAAACTGTGAAAACCACAGAAGGGCACTATCAATCGAGAAGCTGGGATTAAGGAATGAGTCCTTCCCTGGGAGTTTCTCAAACGCTACCCCGCCTCCCTGCCCCAGGTTGCTCATGCAGAGTATCTTGTGGCCTACTGTAAGTTGGGGGGTGAGAACGCAAGCATATTCCTGCTGTGTAATGAAAGGAAAAGACAACCAGTGAGTGGCTATACATATGTATACACACTGAGGTTATGCCACTCGCTGGGGTGCCTGTCCCAAACCTAGTTCTGGCTATGCCTGAATGGTTGCATTCCTTTCCCTTCCCCTCCTCTTGCTTTTCCTTTGCTACACTACTGGTGGTCTGCTGGACTATGTGCAGATGTTTCTCCCATGCTATTTCATGCTTACTTTAAAGTGGCTGTTTAGTAGGGGAATAGAGAATCAACACGTGGGGGACCATCTGCTCCGATGGTGTTCCTAAGCAAACAGCAGATAGCCCTGCCACTGTCTTTGATCCCATATCGCTGCTTTTGGCTTAAGTTTCAGGCTGCTGAGCAAAGGTGCATGTGAGCTTGTGCTTTCTGCCCTTTCTTTCACAGTAGCAGTACTTACAGATGTTTGCTCTGGGACTTTCTTTTCCAGTCTGTTTCTCCTGTCACTCTGACTATGACTGGAGGACTTGATTTCCTGGATTTTTTCTCTCTCTCCTCTTGTTTCTCAGCTGTTCTGGTGTTTGTGCTTTATTTGTGTACCCTCAAATGTACAACCCTACATTTGGTTTCTCCTTTCAGAGAAGGCCAGGCTCAGCACTGAATGTTATAATCCTTTCCAAATCAGGTGTCACACCAAAAAGAAGAAAATTCAATATTTGTGTTGTTAAAGACAACATAGAAAGAATTGTTCTAAGCACCAAGGACAGGCAGCGGCACACTACATAAAAATGGCATTTAAATGGCATTTGGGTGCTTGCATTTTGGTTGTATTCAGGACCATGAAATTCTTATTTGTTTAACATGACACAGCATTTGTCTCTGGAGGACAAATATTGAGGACAAATATTGATACTGCCCCCTCATGAATCACAGACAATGCTCAGGGAGAAAGCAGGAATTGCCTTTTTATATTCTGTCAGTTGATAAGTATGCCTGGGCTTTAGGGGGGGGGAATCTTGATTTTTAGTAATTGTTGTAATTTTGCTTTTAAAAGTGTGCTAAGATCTTATATATGGGTTAGATAAAATATGTTAAATATTAAATACATTGTAAATCACCTGGAGACCTTTTAGTGTTACAAGTGACTAATAAGTTTGATAAATAATAATAATTGAAACTACTCTAGTGGTATCAAAGATAGCGGTTAGGGCCAGGCAGAGAACTGGAAAGAAAGGGAGCTGAAATATTTGCATCAGTTGCATTTATTTAGTTAGGTAGTTAGTTATGGTAGTTTTAGTTTCTTAAGCTTCTTAAGCTTTAGTTTCTTTAGTTTTTTATAAATAAAAATAATACCTTTTTGACTATGAGTATGTATTCAGTGTGTGTGT